TAATTTAAAAGATCACCAACGAAATATATTTTATTTTCAATTAAAATAAATTTTATCAATAATCTTTTTTAAATCTTTTTTAGTTTGAAAAATCACATACGAGATATATTTTATTTTTAATTAAAATAAATTTAATCAGTAATCGTTTTAAATCCTTGTTTTATTTTTTTTAATTTAAAAAATTACTGACAGAATATATTTTATTTTTAATTAAAAATAAACTCCATCAACAATCTTTTTTTAGATGTAAGTATCTTTTGTAAATGTAAATACTTTTTTGGTATATTTGTTTCATTTTATAGATGTAAGTACTTTTTGGTTTATAAAAATGTTTAGGGACTTAATCGTTCAAAATATGAAAGTTCATGGCTTTTTTCAGATTATTTTTTCCATTATTTTACCACATTAACCAACTGTATAGGTCATAAAAATGTATCTAACAGGTTTTAGAAAGTCCAAGGAGTTATTTAACAGATTTTGGAATGTCCAATGACTTATTTGTTCCAAAAAATTATCCAATGACTTAATCATTTCAAACACTAAAGTCCATTGGGTTCTTTTAAACTTTTCCCCTTTTTATATGTTCTTTTAGATTATTTTATATTATCATCTAGCTTATTAATTATTTTTTAACTAAATATAGTTTTTCAACTAACAACTAGCTTACCATAACAACTAGTTTGCCAAACAGTAAATAAAGGGTTGTTTACTAAACAATTATTGTCTTTTGTTATGTAACTAAACGTTTACTTCCTCTTATGAGGTAAGCAGAGATGACGTTTTACCCCTGTAAGGTGGTGATTCGTACTATACGGAGTCAACACTTATTGATCTGCTCAAAGATGATGGTGTTTACTAACAATCTAATCCATTAAGGTAAGTGATCGGAGGTGGTGACTCTTACCGAGTAGATACTTATATAATAAATATTGATAAAGGATCCCTGTAATTATCTTAGGAAAATCTTGATCATTTAGATAACAATCGTTTAGACAAATCTTTATATTTTTTATATGGCAAGTGTAATGCTAGATCATTTAAAAATCCATTTTTAAGGATTATTAATTTACTGCAACAAAATCGGGTTTATAGGACGTCATAAATTTTAAAGCGTCTTAATAGATTGTTTTACAAGACTCAATTTATATGACCAAAAAATAAATAATCCTATTTAAAGACGTTGTAATAAATTTATAGGACGTTTTTAACCTTTGTAATAAATTTATAAGACATTTTTAAGCATCTTAACAAGTTCTTATGACACTTTTAATACAAAGCGCCGTCACATTAACTATTCTATATGAAACTATTTGAAAAAATGCCTTACAAAAACAAGTGTCCCATAAAAAGATGGATTTATAGGATATTTTTTCAAAAGTATCCCATAAAATAGCTTAATAGGGTATTTTATATTAATAATGTTCTAAAAACATCATATAAACTTATTACAATGCTTTTAAATAGTACCATATATTTTCGGGTCCTATAACTTGAGTTTTATGAAGCAGTCTATCAGGACGCTTTGAAATTGATGGTGTTCTATAAATCCAGTTTTGTTGTAGTGGTTTTGATGAGTTCGATAATATATATGAGATATAAAAATTTATATATGATAAAATTAATTTTTTTATTAACCTGGATATCCAACTCGTTATGCGAGCCGACTAATCCCAGGACGACCACCTGCTTTGCAGATAGTCCGGAGTCACCGCATTTGAACATCCGTGGCCACAAGGGGATTTTTATTCTTCCTTTAATTTGAACCTAGGACCTCCTGATATTTTTGACCTTTGAAGCCAATCTCAAATCAATCAAACACCACTCTTGTGGTTTATGATAAAACTAATTTAAGTTCCATAAGAATCGAAGATGATTTAAAAAAGATGGAGCACCCAGAAATGAAATAAATTGAAAGGGCAAAGAAAAGGCACCACACACACACACACACACCATGAGTTGGCCTTTTCCATCATGAGAGTCATCTTTAATCTTTGTTGTCTTTGGTGGGTCGACAAAATGTGCCTCGTGTTTTCACGGTGTTCCCCCCAATTCCCTGCCCGCACAATCCTTGCTCGCACGGTGTAATTATACCCTTTGAACCAATCTTCAAGCAACACAAAGTTTGTTTACTTTTATTTCTCAACATATATATATACATATATATATATATTTATATATATATATATATATATATATGATTTCATGCAATATTTTGATCATTTATCTTGAATACATGTTGAAACATCTCATTCTTTTCTTAAAAGTAGGCTTTTTTGGAGACTAATCTAATTATTAGGGTTTTATGATTCTCGCATGGTATCAGAGATAAAATCTGTGTCACTTAGTAACTCGAGACTCTGGTACAATTTATGTTTGTCTAGTCGACATCGTATTGTTCTTTAATATGTGACAGAACCTCTATTATTTCCTTGATAACTCTTTTAGTAAGTAATCTAAAGGATGCAAGTATATGCAAACCGTAAAAAATGACTCACGAATGTATTTCCCAGAAGTATAAGATTAAAGATTTTGATTTTTAGATTGTTTTTTTTAATATTCTTCGAGTGTTTTGGTTCATGTCTTTCGTATAAAAAGTATAATGGAAGTTTTGGAGGACGACTAGTGATATAAAGGGGTTGTTTGTTTACCTCTTGACAATTCCATTAAGAGACAACATCTGAATCGTTAAGAAGTGAATCTAATTGTTTGGCAAAAAAAAAAAATCTGTTTCTTAATAGTTTTAAAATCATCTGAATGATTTTGTATCTTGAGTCTCTCTTAACCATTAAACGTCCTAATTTCATTGTAAACAGTTACCAAATAATTATATTTCATTTTACATTATCATCATGAAAACCTCTTAATCATTCTGACCACTTAATCATTTTGCACCAAACCATTCAGCAACTGTCAAACAACCTCAAAATAACAAATTATATTAATTAATTTGTTAGATAATATTGTTAAAAAGATGTTGATTTTTATGAGTAGTTGGAATAAAATCTGTTATAAATTTGATGGGACATGAGTGAGTGAGTGCTTCATCCCTTAATTCACACGAATATTCCAATCGTTAAGTTAGTCAAACACTAAAATATGTCCAAAGTTGATCGTTACGAAAATTATTGGATTTTCTGAATGGTCAATGGAACTGTGGGATCCACATTAATCGTGGAATGTGACATTTCGTATCGTATAACTGTTTACTATCTGTGATATTCAGTTCAATGCTTTTTAAATCAGTTTAAAACAAACAGTGTAGATTACTGTTAGCTTATAGTTTAAAGTTTATAAAAAAGAAACTCATAAATCTTACTCTTTAACAGTCTGAAACAGGTTATCACACTCATTAGAATTATTAGCCTTTTTCCTTGTTGATTTTCTAGAAAATAAATTATTTATGTTTGTTAACCATGAGTGCTTGGAGCAGTATGCATACATCTCAACTATTTTTAATGGATTTGAAGAACAGTCAAAAAAATATTCATCGTATTAATGCATGAACGTGTGGATTACATTATATTTTATCATAATACTGAATTAGCAACATTCGCCTCTGGATTACATTGTATTTTATCATAATACTGTATTTGAACTATAGTTACATTCGCCTCTGGATCAACCCAATTGGCACATGTCTAATAATTATTCGAATCGAAATCAAGTCAAGTTGACCGAGGTTGTGGTGCTATAACAACTACAATGACACCAAACGGTCATTAGCTTTGTGTTATCTGAGTTAGTGGTAGAGTCAAATCTCTAAAAAAAAAAATTAAGGGTTCAAATTTCACCAAATTAAGATCCAACTTCATCTATACATACGTAATTAAATGTGTATTTTCTTTGGTTAGTTTAATTATAATATTAATTCTGCTTAATTTACATGTTTTACTTTTATTTTAACTTGCATATTGTACGTAATAAAACATTATGTCTCTCCAGTCATGCAGTTTAAAAAATACATTAATTGTAATTTACAATTTAAATTTCATATGATATATAATTATATCTAATTAATTACTAATATATATGGGGTTGAGTTTTGGTAAGAATATAAGTTATGGTGAGAAACGGTAAAAACGATTTCCACCATTGGATCAATTCTGATTAAAGATCAACACTAATTATACGGTACATCGAAATACACTGGATCAATTCTCGTAATAAACGCAATTCATAGAATGTGGAAGAAATTAAAAATGATCAAGAGTCCAGATCTCTCCTTGTCTTTCTCACCTTAATTCATGTTCTTACACGATCTTACATATACCTTGTATATTGATCAATGTAGACTAGAACATTGCCCAAAATTATACATACACTTTTTTTCCCCTGTTAAGTTATGTCTAGCAGTAAAATTCTTAGAGCTTACATACGGCTCGATATGAATATAGATGTAAAATTAAGATTAATTACCTTAGAGTTTTTGGATAAGTCTCTATCTACAAGTGTTTGTAATAAATTTATACAATCCCTTTGAACGTTTTTAACAAGTTTACAGGATTTTTTGAAACCAAGTGTCCTATTAGTTATTTTATACGACACGATATTTAAAAAAAATGTTATATAAAATTTATTATTACAATAACTTGTTACAACAAAGAAAAAGAAATGTAAAAGTTAAAAGTTAATGTCGTAAGAAGAAAGGAAAGGTGAGCAGTGTTCAAGTCATGAGAGGAGAGAGAAACAAAAAGGAAACCCTAAAAGATGACCACAAAATTCTAGCACAAACAAGAAAGTGATTTTCACTTGATTATTCAAGGGTTATCGACAACCCCCCTCCTCTCCCATACCACCATA